ATTGTGGAGCCAAGCAAATTGAAGCTTTTACTAATCTCAATCTTGTCACCATCTATGACACTGCCAATCAGTCCAATGGTGAGAATACTTTTGTTTTTGTTTTTTGGGTTAGGGGGGTTTGGGTTGTTTGGGTTTTTTGTTTGTTTGTTTTTGAGCTTCAATCCATATTGAAGGCTTTAGTCTTTGAAATTCTTCAGTAAATGCCTCAGGTTTTCCTCAGTTTCAGCAAGCAAAGTTGTGTCATTTGCCTAATACTGAATGTGATGAGTCTTTCTCCAATCCCGATGTCACATTCCTCCTCCGATGATCTGTTCCACAGATAGATTGAAAAGGTATGGAAATAGGATACATCCCTGGTGTACACCATGCACTGTTTCCTTGCTCCGATCTGCAACTGCCTCCTGGTCCAAGTACAGGTTTCACATAAGCACAATCAAGTGTTCTGGGGTTCCCATTCTTCTCAGAGTTAGCCACAGTTTGTTGTGATCCACAAAGTTAAATGCCTTTGCATAATCAATTAAACACATATAGACATTATTCTGGTACTCTCTTGTTTCAGCCAAGATCCATCTACCATTAGCTATAATATCCTTAGTATCATGGCTTCTTCTAAACCCAGCCTGCACTTCAGACAATTCTCTGATGATGGGCTGTTTCCGTCATTTTTGGATAATGTTCAGCAGAATCTTGCTTGCATGTGATATCAATGATATTGTTAAATAATTTCTGCACTCTATCGAGTCACCTTTCTTTGGAATGGGAACAAATATCTATCTCTTGCCGTTAATTTGACAGGTAGTTAGTTATCCTTCAGATTTCTTGGCACAACATGGTGAGCACATTCAGGGAGGCATCTGTTTGTTGAAATATATCAGCTGGTATGTCTTCAATTCCTGGGGCCTTGCTTTTTGCCAATTCTTTCAGAGTAGCTTGAACATTTTCCTTCATCACTACAGGCTCTTACTCATACGTTATTTCATTATTTTGTGTCCACCAATTCCTTTTGGTAAAATGACTCTCTATACTCTTTCCATCCTCTTTTAAAGCTTCCTAGATTATTTCATATTCTGCCCAAAGCATCCTTAAATATTGCAACTCGAGGCTTGAATTTGTTTTTCAGTTCCTTTAGCTTAAGAAATGATGAGCAAGTTCAGGCCTTTTGATTTTCTGACTCCACTCTTTGCACATTTCATTGTAATACTTTACTTTGTCTACCAGCGTTGCCCTTTGGAATTTTCTGTTCATCTCCTTAATATCTTGATTTCTTCCCTTTGCTTTGGCCTCTCAGTGCTCTAATGCAATATTCAGTTTCTTCTGACGTCCACCTTGGTCTTTGCTTCCTCCTCTGTCTTTGTAATGACTTTTTACATTCTTCCTGGATGATATTCTTGATATCCTCCGACAGTTACTCTGATCTGATCTTCACTCATTAGAAATTCAGGTGGGATAGACTAAATAAAGGTCAAATTATGATTCTGGTGGATTTAATGTTCCTTAGCTTCAGCTTGAACTTGCATATGAGTAGTTGGTGGTCTGTTCCACAGTGAGCACCTGGCCTAGTTTTCACAACTGATACTGAGCTTCTCCAGCAATTCTTTCTACAGATGTAATCAATCTGATTCCTATGCATACCATCTTATAAAATGTATTTCCAATGAATAAGTCTTTGTCCAAAATTCTATCATTCTATCTCCAGCTCCATTTCTGTCACCAAGTCTATGTTTTCCAACTATTGATCCTTCTCCTCTATTCCCAACTTCTGCTTTCCAGTCACTCATTATTATTAATGCATCCAGATTGCTTGTTTGATTGATCTCTGACTACTAAAGCTGGCAGAAATCTTCTATTTCCTTCTCTTTGGCTCCAGGTTTCAGTGAATGTATTTGAATGACAGAGGTGTTCACTGGGTTTCCTTGTGTGTGTATGGATATTACCCTGTCACTCACAACATTGTATCTCAAGATGGATCTAGAAATGACCTTTTTTAACTTTGAAAAGCAACCCCATTTTTTCCTCACCTTTTCTTCTCCAGTATAGATCATATGATCCTCTGCTCCATGCCAGTCCATCTCATTTTACCAATACCTGTTATTGTTGTTGTTGTTATATGCCACCGAGTCACTTGTGACTCATAGCGACCCTATATACAACAGCCCTAAACTCTGCTCTATCCTGTGCCAGTCGCAATGTCTCTGACACTCCGACCCCGATTAACCCAGTCACTGAATCTATCCACCTCATAGAGGGTTCTTTCCCTCCTGCGCCCTCCCTCCGCCCTCCCAAGCATGATGTCCCTCTCCAAAGACAGTCCCTCCTTACAATATGTCCAAAGTATGTCAGACAAAGCCCCAGAATCCTTGCCTCCAAGGATTAACCCTCTCCAGGATGAATCTGTTTGTTTTCTTCGCAGTCCATGGTACATTCAACTCTTCTCCAGCACCACAGCTCAAAGGCATGAATTCTTCTTCTATGCTACCTAGTCATTGTCTAACTCTCTGAAGCATAAGAAATGATTGAAAAGACCATGGCCTGTATCAGACACACTTTAGTCTCCAGAGAGACACCATTGCTCTTCAGTACTTTGGAGAGGTTCCTAACAGCAGGCTTTCCCATAGCAATATGCCTTTTAATTTCCTGGCTACGGGTGCTGAGAGAGTTGATAGTAGAGCCAAGCAAACTAAAGCTGTGAACAATCTCAATGTCTTCTTCACCATCCATCCTGATGCTGCCAATTGGCCCAGTGGTGAGAATCTTTGTCTTCTTGACATTGAGTCTCAGTCCATATTGGAGGCTGCAGTCCTTGACACTCTGCAGCAAGCGCTTCAGGTCCTCCTCAGTTTCAGCAAGCAGGGCTGCGTCATCTGCATAACGCAGATTGTTATAGATAGGCCACCAATCTTGACCCACATTTCTCCTTATAGAGCCTAGTCTCCCGGATAATCTGTTCTGCATACAGGTTGAAAAGGTATAGAGATAGGACACATCCCTGGCGTACGCCCTTCCCAGTTTTGAGCTATGCAGTGTTCCCTTGCTCTGTTCTGACGACTGCCTCCTGATCCAAGTATAGGTTTCGCATTAGAATGATCAAATGTTCTGGGATTCCCATTCTCAGAGTCAGCCACAGTTTGTTATGATCCACACAGTCAAACGCCTTTGCATAGTTAATGAAACACATATATACATTCCTCTGGTAATCCCTGCTTTCAGCTAAGATCCATCTGAGATCAGCTACAGTATCCCTAGTACCACGATCCCTTCTAAACCCAGCCTGGACTTCTGGCAGTTCTCTGCTGATGTGTTCTTTCAGTCGTTTTTGGATAATCTTCAGTAGAATCTTGCTTGCATATGAAATCAATGAGATTGTTCGATAGTTTCCACACTCTGTTGGGTCACCTTTGTCAATATTTATGTGTTCCATTTATTTAATGATATCCAGTTTTCCTACATTCATGGTTTTCACATTCCATGTTCCAATCACTAGTGTTTGCTTACAGCAATTCCTTCTCTTTTGTGCTACCATATTTGAGGACTCAGGCTCAGTTGCTGTATCTGCTAGTCTGAGTATGCTCTGTTGTACATAGAGTTTTCGAAAGCCTGCCATTTCAGAAGTGGATGGCCAATCCTTCTTCCTAGTCTGTCTTGATTTGAATGCCCATATTTAGAACATTATCTGACAGACAAGCATTTTATAAAAAAGAATGAAAAAAATGAATTAAAAAGATGAAAGATTATTTCCCAATTTTAGAAATAACCAATAGAGCCAGTGCTGTCCCTGCCTTTGACGTGTGCGTCTTGATCCACCCCTTTCCCTGCTCCACCATCATTCCCTTCCACTCCCCCTAGAAGAAATCTACACTTATCTCCCCATAACCTATCCTTGATGTGATGGCTTATATCTTAAGCTTTCTAGGCTTCTGTGATTCTAAACACTTCAACCTTCTGCCAGTTTCTTCTGCTGCAGGGAAAATCTAGAGTCTCTAAATCTATATATCAGGTTCGGCTTCCTATTTCAGATGGTTCTGAGGAAAATCCTTTGTCTTAAACTTCTGCTCCAGGATTGACTTCTTGTGGCTTAGGGCGTCTCCATTTTACACTGTAGTCACAATGGAATAGTTGCGTGTGTGTGTGTGTGTGTGTGTGTGTGTGTGTGATGTATCTTGGATGACAAGGCTTATTTCTTAGTCTTAGTTTGGAAGCTCCTTTGAAATCTATCATCAATGGACTTTCTAGTTTTTAAAATATGTGATATGACTTCCATCCAGCATTACAGCAACCCAACTGCCAATTCTACATATAAACTAGCACTTTGTTGGTAGTGTATGAATAATGAAGCATGACCATTTTGAATTTAAAAATCATATGGTCTACTATGGTGCAAACGACAAATTGAAAAGGAGTAGAATCACAAGCATTGTCATAAAGCACATTTTAAGATCTGCTCTTAAGTACAGTACTAACAGAGCCATATCCATACACATACAAATAAGAAGGAATAGTAGTATTGTTCAAATTTAGGCAGCAACCAGTAAGTTAAAGATGAAGAAATTAAAGATTTTTATGAACATTTGAGGGAGCTATGGTGCCCTAGTGGGTAAGATGTTGAGCTGTCATTCTAAGGGCAGGTGTTATGAATTCACCAGCTTCCCCATGAAAAAAGATGAGCAATCTCCTCCCCTATGATTTTCAGCCTCTGAAAATCCACTAGAAGGTTAATTTTGAGTTGATTCCAATTTGACGGCAATAAGTTGAGTTTGATCAACATTTGAAGCCTGAAATTGACCAGATATACAATCAAGATGCACTAACACAACTCATTTGAATGTAAGAGTTGAAAACTAATATACAGAATACATATATCTATACTTACAACTGTATAAATAATAGAAATTGTCTTCAAGTTATTAATAATTTTCCCAGAGGTAATTAAAATAAAGTATTTTTTAAAATTTAGGCAGTAAATATACCTATTATTAAAATGGTATACACATTTTAATACATACCTCAAAGTACATGGTACAAATCCTCTAAGACTTAAGCCACAGTTTCCAAATTGATCATTCCTAGAATTAATTTCTTCAAAACAGGCTTGAGAACCATACAGAGTACCTAGAAAGAGTATAGAGAAATTTAGTTATAGTGAACAACTCTAAAAAAAAGTATAAACTCTAATGATGTTAACATTTATTATTAAAAATGTTTAAATTCTTAAAATTACTGAAAAAATTGAATAAAAATCACATGCATCTCAAATTTAAGTAAAATATTTAAAGATTTAAAAGTATATGTTACTATCTAAATTGATTAGTTAGAAAGTATTTTTCAAATCTCAATACTGTTTTATTTTCCATTTCTTCTTCTTTCTATTATCTTTAAATCACATCTATAGAGACAGGCATTTGGCTTTATTTTCACTAATATGAAACAGAAATCTACTTACATACCTATAAGGTTGTTGTTGTTGTT